ACTGGTACCGGATGGTCGCCGAATCACGAGTCCAGTCACGAACCGCGAGGCAAAATTTTGCCGAAAAAATTTGCCGAAAGTCGGATTTCACGAAAGTCGATGCCGATGAAACTCGGGGGGGGTCCACTGTATTTTATTCATTTTAGAGTATATATCAGGTTTCTATGTTATTTATATTGTTTATGTCACATTAGATGAACTGTGATAGATAAATAAGCTGTAGAGTTGTTGATAGCGAAATATTCAAGGTGTATTTTGTCCTGTCTCCAACACTCGTCGGCTGACGCCGCCACATATATAATGACATATTTTATTCATTCTAGAGTATATATCAGGTTTCTTTGTTATTTATATTGTTATGTCATATTAGATGAACTGTGATAGATAAATAAGCCATATAGATGATATTAGCAAAATTATCCAAGAAGTATTTTGTCCGGTCTCCAGACACACTGTCATCCACTGCCGACACCGCCCATACCACTACATGAATTACATATTTTATTAATTTTAGAGTATATATCAGGTTTCTATGTTATTTATATTTTTATTATATCACATTAGATCAATTGAAATAAATGAGCCATAAAGTTGATATTAGCGAAATTATTGAAGTACAGAATTCCACTGGAACGGATTAATTGCATTTCAGTTAATTTAAATGAGAAAAATGGACTCTGCAGGCGAGCAAATCCAGTTGCGAGCAAGGTCATGGAATGGATTAAACTCGCAAGTAGAGGTTCCACTGTATACCCTTTATATAAACAGCTTATTTCTTCTTTACATTCTGTAGTGTATTATGATTTATTATGTGTTTATGATATTTTCAGTGTTTTCCTTAGAATACTAGTGATCTACTGCAGTTAGCCTCAAAAATACTTTTTCTCTTAAAATAAGAGAATGGGAAGATACTCTTGGTATATACAGTGGACCCCCGCATACCGGACGCCTTGCATAACGGACAATCCGCATACCGGACGCTTTGATCACTAAAATTTTGCCTCGCATACCGCCCAAAAACCCGCTCAGCGCCCTTCGTCCGAGACGCGTCCAATGTGCGGCCTGAGCCACGCTCACATGTTCCGCCGGTGGCATTGTTTACCAGCCAGCCTCCGCGGTAACATCCAAGCATACAATCGGAACATTTCGTATTATTACAGTGTTTTTGGTGATTTTTTTTCTGGAAAATAAGTGACCATGGGCCCCAAGAAAGCTTCTAGTGCCAACCCTACAGCAATAAGGGTGAGAATTACTATGGAGATGAAGAAAAAGATCATTGATAAGTATGAAAGTGGAGTGCGTGTCTCCGAGCTGGCCAGGTTGTATAATAAACCCCAATCAACCATCGCTAATATTGGTGGTACAGCTGCTGCTGCTGCTGTACCACCGTCAGCTGCTGCTGCACTGTCAGCTGCTGCTGCACTGTCAGCTGCTGCTGCTGTACCACCGTCAGCTGCTCCTGCTGCTGTAGTACCGTCTGCTGCTGCTGTAGCATCGTCTGCTGCTGCTGTAGCATCGTCTGCTGCTGCTGTAGCATCGTCTGCTGCTGCTGTAGCATCGTCTGCTGCTGCTGTAGCATCGTCTGTTGCTGCTGTAGCATCGTCTGTTGCTGCTGTACCACCGTCAGCTGCTATTGCTGCTGTAGCATCGTCTGCTGCTGCTGCTGCTGTAGCATCGTCTGCTGCTGCTGTAACATCATCAGTTGCTGCTGTAGCATCGTCTGCTGCTGCTGTAGCATCGTCTGTTGCTGCTGTAGCATCGTCTGTTGCTGCTGTACCACCGTCAGCTGCTGCTGCTGCTGTAGCATCGTCTGCTGCTGCTGTAACATCAGTTGCTGCTGTAGCATCGTCTGCTGCTGCTGTAGCATCGTCTGCTGCTGCTGTAGCATCGTCTGTTGCTGCTGTAGCATCGTCTGTTGCTGCTGTACCACCGTCAGCTGCTGCTGCTGCTGTAGCATCGTCTGCTGCTGCTGTAACATCGTCAGTTGCTGCTGTAGCATCGTCTGCTGCTGCTGTAGCATCGTCTGTTGCTGCTGTAGCATCGTCTGTTGCTGCTGTACCACCGTCAGCTGCTGCTGCTGCTGTAGCATCGTCTGCTGCTGCTGTAACATCATCAGTTGCTGCTGTAGCATCGTCTGCTGCTGCTGTAGCATCGTCTGTTGCTGCTGTAGCATCGTCTGTTGCTGCTGTACCACCGTCAGCTGCTGCTGCTGCTGTAGCATCGTCTGCTGCTGCTGTAACATCGTCAGTTGCTGCTGTAGCATCGTCTGCTGCTGCTGTAGCATCGTCTGTTGCTGCTGTACCACCGTCAGCTGCTGCTGCTGCTGTAGCACCGTTGTTGGTGTGGCTTATTGAGAATACCAAGAAACAATTAACCCCAGAGGATTTGCCACCCAGGATAACTCAAAAAAGTCAGTGCGTCATCGAAGACTGTCTAACTTATTTCCATTGGGGTCCTTAATCTTGTCTCCCAGGATGCAACCCACACCAGTCGACTAACACCCAGGTGAACAGGGAAAATGCCTGGAACTAGTGCTCATATTGGTGAATTTAGAGCCAGCAAAGGTTGGTTTGAGAGATTTAAGAATCGTAGTGACATACACAGTGTGATAAGGCCTGTTCTGGAAGAAAATACCAAACAGGACCTACAGTACTCAGGAGGAAAAGGCACTCCCAGGACACAGTGTCTCATCAGTCATTGCTGCATCTTCAATAAAGGTAAGTGTCATTTATTCTTCATTTAGTAGAGTAGTACATGCACAATATATATTGTGTATGTACTACTCTACTATTGTGCATGTATCCTTCTCTTTGTGTGTAGGAAAATGTATATTTCATGTGGTAAAAAATTTTTTTTCATACTTTTGGGTGTCTTGCACGGATTAATTTGATTTCCATTATTTCTTATGGGGAAAATTCATTCGCATACCGAACATTTCGCATAACAGCCAGCCCTCTTGCACGGATTAAGGTCGCTATGCGGGGGTCCACTGTACACAGGAAATGGCGGACGCTTCTGCTGCTGCCTCTGCCACCATATTATGGCCTATTTTATTCATTCTAGAGTATATATTATGTTTCTGCATTAATTATATTGTTTATTATGTCATATTAGATGAATTGTGATAGATAAATAAGCCGTACAGTTGATAATAGCGTCATATTCAAGAGTGCAGGAACGAATTAATGGCTTTTCAGTTAATTTGAATGAGGAACATTAATTTGATATATAAGTAAATTGAGTTACGAGCTAGCTCCTGGAACAGATTAAACTCGTAAGTCAAGGTTCCACTGTATATATATTATAATCTTTCATGGTATGTTTTTGTGTTTTTGTATGTGTGGGGGGGAGGGGCGGCATAATGCCGTGGCTAGCATTGTATATAAATGCATAAGCATTAAGGAGTATTGGGTTTAGTTTTTCTGCTCAAAATGCTTTTCATAGCCATGAGCTTTTCACAAACTTCTGCAAAACATTTTTCACCCACTGTTATAACAACTATGTACTTTATAAAAATATAGTTACAGTAGACCATCATTTAGCACGAGTTTATTTGGCACAATTCAGGTATAGCACGATTGAAGAATTGCGGCACAATTTTATGTAACACGTTGTAAAATTAATTTAACACGGTTCGCAGGAGGTGGGTTACACCATTGAGTCAATGGGGGAGACCTACTGCCATCCCCCTGCCACCCTCAGCCACCCTCCCAGCTTTTAGTTTGGTTCATACGCGTGTAGGAACCAAAAAAATTTCCAAGACCGTAGGCATACTATCGAAGATACGGTACTATGTTCCACAGTCAGCCCTCCTGGCCCTATATCACTCTCTTATTTACCCCTATCTCACCTATGGAATTTGTGCATGGGGCTCAACAACAATAAACCATCTCAGACCACTAATCACCCAACAAAAGGCTGCAGTCAGAATAAATTCCCACTACAGACAACACACTCCACCAATATTCAAAACTCTAAACCTACTCACAATACAAAACATCCATACTTAATACTGCACCTACTACATACATAGAACACTTAACTCTGACATAAACCCTCCCCTCAAACATCTCCTTACCAACCTTAACAGAACACATGACCATAACACAAGGCACAGATCACTCTTTGATGTTCCTCATGTCCATCTCACGCTAGGCAAAAACTCAATGCACATAAAAGGCCCTAAAATCTGGAATTCATTACCTGTGAATATAAAAGAAACACTGTCTGTTTATAAATTCAAGTCTCTTCTCAAAAATCACTCACCCACAACTAAATAAATACTGAATAATTGTATCTCATAAATTGTATCTCATATGTATCTCATTATTGTATCTCATAAATGTCAACCTGTGACCCAATCAAACTTTGTTACTATTTAACTTCATTACCTAACGGAATACTCTATTCTACTGATTACACAGCAACACAGTAAATGACCATATGACCTGTCTTTGTAATACTCATTTGTACTAAATTGTTATCTGTTTTACAATAATTTTTGTACCACTGAATATATCATTGCTTAGTTAATCTTAAGTTAATTTTTAAGCCTGCCCATAATGCTCTGCATACAAGGGGCTTTGACATGCTGCACTTTAAAAATTATATTCCTTGTACTTCTCTGTATCATGTTCAAATTAATAAATAAATAAGTAAATAGTATGAAGCTACTTGGGAACCTCACTGTGTTTATTTACATACATTGTACATATTTTCATTGCCGTTTGTTTAATCTGCCAAGCAATCATGGCACCCAGTAAGCATACAAGTGTTGCTGAAAGTGACAAGAAAAGGTTTAAGCGTTCAAGTCTAGAAATTACGAAGAAAATCGAGATATTAATTAAGCTTAAGAGTGGCTCACATGTGGTGGATATAGTGAGGGCCTTAATGAAGCATCAGTTCGTACAAAAAGGACGAGGTGACTATACAAGTTTGACTGACTTACTGTAGGGTAAAAATAGAACAGAAAACCATTACAGAATTTATGCATACTCCAGTACAACCATGGACTTCAGTACCAGAACCTCTACCATCCACCTCAGACCAGTAGGGCCACAACATAACTCTCCACTCTCCACAATCATCCATAAACACCAGCACCCACAATTTAAGGTAAGAAATACTATTATTTCTGTTGCATTTGTAATCTTAAACAGTAAAAACAACTTAATACATCATGATAATGAACTACAATTACATATTCACATTTATTTTTGTTAGATCTGTTAATCTAAAAAAAAAAAGTTGTTTGGCTTTTCGGGGGTTCCCAGGAACGTAACCCTATTTTTCCCATAAGGCCTTAAGTTCATCTGACACGATTTTACCTAACTCTGCATTTTCAGGAATGTAACTACCGTGTTAAATGACGGACTACTGTATATGTTTTATGTATTTTATATGTTATGTTTTACCAGAAGTCAGAAGAAATAAGAAAGTGTGTGACAGTAACAAAAAAAAATGCTGTAGCTAGAGATGTAGAATCTCGTACATTTTTCAGTTTAAGTTCACACACTACCTAGGTCAGTTAGTGTCTCCATTTTCTTCCCCCTCAAAAAAAAAAAAAAAAAAAATCTTGCATGCTGAGATCCCAGTAATGAGGTTCTTGTATGTACAAAGATCTGGGCCAGTCACCTGAAAACTCAGTGCTTGGTCACCCATATGTCATGCCATGCTTCTTAACTTTTACCTTTATTGAAGACTCTTATTGGCATACTAGTCACACAGAAACACCACTAGTCACACTGAAACAATGTACATAATTTATAAATAAGAAATATTGTATAAAAACATAATAGAGAATATATGTGGAAGTATACAATAACGAGGAGGAGGAGGAGGTGGAGGAGGAGGAGGAGGAGGAGGAGAGGGAGGGAGGGAGGAGAAAGAAGGAAGGAAGGAGAAAGAAGGAAGGAGAAAGAAGGAAGGAAGGAGAAAGAAGGAAGGAAGGAGAAAGAAGGAAGGAAGAAGAAAGGAGAAAGAAGAAAGGAAGGGGAAGGAAGGAAGGAAAAGAAGGAAGGAAGAAGGAAGGAGGAGGGGAGGAAGAAGGGGAGGAGGAGGAGGAGGAAGAAGGAGGAGGGGGAGGAGGAGAGGGAGGAGAAAGGAGAAAGAAGGAAGGAAGGAGAAAGAAAGAAGAGGAGGGAAGGAGAAGGAAGGAGGAGGAGGAAGGAGGAGGAGGAAGAAGAAGGAGGAGGAAGAAGGAGGAAGGAGGAGGAGGAGGGAAGGAAAGAGGAGGAGGAAGGAGGAGGAGGAGAGAAGGAGGAGGAGGAGAAGAGAGGAGGAGGAAGGAGGAGGGAGGAAGGAAAGGAGGGAGGAGGAGAAAGAGGAGGAGGAGGAAGGAGGAGGAGGAGGAGGAGGAAGGAAGGAGGAGGAGGAGAGGAGGAGGAGGAGGAAGAGAGGAGGAGGAGGAGAAGGAGGGGAAGAAGGAGGAGGAGGAAGAGGAGGAGGAGGAGGAGGAGGAGAAGGAGGAGGAGGAGGAAGGAGGAGGAGGGAGGAAGAAGGAGGAGGAGGAGGAAGGGGAGGAGGAGGATTGGAAGGGGAGGAGGAGGGAGGAGAAGAGAGGAGGAGGAAGGAAGGAGGAGGAGAGAAGGAGGAGGAGGAGGAAGGAGGAGGAGGAGGAAGGAGGAGAAGGAGGTTAGGAGGAGGAGAAGGAGGAGGAGGGAAGGAGGAGGAGGAGAGGAGGAGGAGGAGGAGAAGGAGGAGGAGGGAGGAAGGAGGAGGAGGAAGAGGAGGGGAGGAGGAAGAGGAGGGAGGAGGAGGAGGAGGAAGGAGAGGAGGAGGAGGAAGGAGGAGGAGGAGAAGAGGAGGAGGAGGAGGAGGAGAGGAAGGAGGAGGAGGAGAAGGAGGAGGAGGAGGAGAGAAGGAGGATGAAGGAGGAGGAGGGAGAGAAGAAGGGGAGGAGAGAAGGGAGGAGGAGGAAGAAGGAGGAGGAGGAGAGAAGGGGAGGAGGAAGAAGGAGGAGGAGGAGGGAGGAGGAAGGAGGAGGAGGAAGAAGAAGAAGAAGAAGAAGAAGAAGAGGAGAAGCTGCTGTTGCTGCTATCCACCACCACCAGCTGTTGTTGTTGTTCCCTTGAAGCATGAAAAACAAAGTCCACCCCTGACAGTGACATGATAAGATAACTGATATGTGCTGACGTTTGATGATCATACACGAGGGTGAGGGAGGGTGCAGCTGATAAGAGAAGATTAGAGGTGATATTTGATGAGCATCGCCCTCGCTTTGTTTTCGCTGGTACACAAACATGTCTGTCTGTCAAGCTCCCTGTCTGTCTGTCTATCCATCTAGCTCTGTCTCAAAGAGAGCCACAAGACTGCGTCATCACCTTTACTCACATCTTCAAGCAGAGTATAGCATTTTGTCTGGATTTTTTGGGTTATCCTAGGTAATTTACACTATGTATACTTCTATTTATGTGTACCTGTGAGACAGAGAGAGACAGGTTGAAAGAGATAGAGACAAAGACAGAGGTAGACAGAGATAGACAGAGATACAGACCCTAAACTTGGGGTTAACATCATTTTCCTCTTAAAAGACGAGTGTTAATATGACATTACATCAGTGAAACCTTGGTGTTTGCCGCACTATTTGCTCTAGCTGGCGCTCCCACAAGGTACTAAGTGTTCCCAGATTTTTTAATACTGCGCACAAAGAGTGTTAGGACCCATTCTATGCTGACAAGGCATCTCAGGCCAATCATGCCAAATTTAAAGGCAGGAAAAATAAAACATATATACGTTTGGGATGCTGTGCGTAAGAACATGCACGTTTGGACCGTTTAAGGGTTAATGTTACACTTTATCACTGGTGGCACTATAGCCTTTATCGACTCCTGCTGCTTTAACTCTTTGACTGTCGCGGCCGTATATATACGTCTTACGAGGTACCGTGTTTAACGTATATGTACTCATAAATTCTAGCGGCTTCAAATCAAGCAGGAGAAAGCTGGTAGGCCCACATGTGAGAGAATGGGTCTGTGTGGTCAGTGTGCACCATATAAAAAAAATCCTCGAGCATGCAGTGCATAATGAGAAAAAAAAAACTCCGACCATTTTTTTTAATTAAAATGCCGACTTTGTGGTCTATTTTCGTATAGTATTTATGGTTGTATTCTCGTTTTCTTGGTCTCATTTGATAGAATGGAAACCATATTATAGAAATAGAGGTGATTTTGATTGATTTTACTATAAAAAGAACGTGGAAATGGAGCTCAAAGTAGGGGAAATGTTTGATTTTTGCCAATGCTCAAAAGTAATAAATGATGTCATTGTCCAATAAATGTCCAACTAGCCATTCTAATATGCAGTCATGAATGGGTTGATGTTATTTATACAATTATTACAGTATTGCAGTAGTCTGCATAATAGTAAGTCTTCTGTTTTTTGTTTGAATAAAAATTCAAAATAGAAAGCAAGAGTAATATCAGAGGGGCCTGGAGACATGACTGATGAACAAAGAAAATGTTATTTTAGAGCCAGAAATGTCTGCATTGTTCATTCTGGACCATATTTTGAAATTGTCATATTTTTTAATTTTTGTGAAATTGGCCAAATTGCAAATTTCTGACCACATTATTGGGTAGTTGAAATCGGTAAATGGGCAGTTTCTTGTACTCAATCGATAGCAAAAATGGAGTTCTAAAGAAATAGCTATGAGTTTGGTCGACTGGAACAACGGAATTAGCCGAAAATAGGGCTCAAAGTGAGCGAAATCGCCGATTTGTAAATATCGCCGAGGTCGCTAACTTCGTGAGAGCATAATTCCATCAGTTTTCCATCAAATTTCGTTTTTTTTTGGTGTCATTACAATCGGGAAAAGATTCTCTATCATTTCATAAGAAAAAATAATATATACTTTTTTTTTTTTTTTAAATTTTGCGACACCAGGAGACACCTCAGGATTGGGGGTTGTGACAGTCAAGGGGTTAATATCGTACATATCATACAATCACTGAACAAGGCACATTCTCCCCTCTCCCTCAGCCCTTTACCAAAGAGCTGGCACTAGGAACTTTCTTTGGAACCATTTTGGCTTATTTCGCAGTCACAATCAATAATTAACCCTTTGACTGTCGCAACCCTCAATCCTGAGGTGTCTCCTGGTGTCGCAAAATTTAAAAAAAAAATTATTTTTTCTTATGAAATGATAGAGAATCTTTTTCCCGATTGTAATGACACCAAAAAAACGAAACTTGATGGAAAACTGACGGAATTATGCTCTCGCGAAGTTAGCGACCTCGGCGCTGTTTACAAATCGGCGATTTCGCCCACTTTGAGCCCTATTTTCGGTTAATTCCATTGTTCCAGTCGCCCAAACTCATAGCTATTTCTTTAGAACAACATTTTTTCTATCGATTGAGTACAAGAAACTGCCCATTTACCGATTTCAACTACCTAATAATGTGGTCAGAAATTTGCAATTTGGCCAATTTCACGAAAACTAAAAAATATGACAATTTCAAAATAAGGTCCAGAATGAACAATGCAGACATTCCTGGCTCTAAAATAACATTTTTTTGCTCATCAGTCATGTCTCCAGGCCCCTCTGATATTACTCTTGCTTTCTATTTTGAATGTTTATTCAAACAAAAAATAGAAGACTTACTATTATGCAGACTACTGCAATACTGTAATAATTGTATAAATAACATCAATCCATTCATGACTGCATATTAGAATGGCTAGTTGGACATTTATTGGACAATGGCATCATTTGTTTACTTTTGAACATTGGCAAAAATCAAACATTTCCTCTAATTTGAGCTCCATTTCTAGGTTCTTTTTATAGTAAAATCAATCAAAATCACCTCAATTTCTATAATATGTTTTGAATTCTATCAAATGAGATCAAGAAAACGAGAATACAACCATAAATACTATACGAAAATAGACCACAAAGTCGGCATTTTAATTAAAAAAAACGGTCTGAGTTTTTTTTTTCTCATTATGCACTGCGTGCTCCAGGATTTTTTTTATATGGTGCACACTGACCATACATATCCATTCTCTCACATGTGGGCCTACCAGCTTTCTCCTGCTTGATTTGAAGCCGCTAGAATTTATGAGTATATATACGTCAAACACGGTACCTCGTAAGACGTATATATACGGCCGTGACAGTCAAAGGGTTAAGCACAAAAATTGTGAAATGTTTTGGATGAATGCTCACTCAACTAGTGACGGAGCCAGACTGAAGCTGCATCCCGGCAGGTGAACGTGTCCGATATGTGCAATTCCTGGGACAAGGTCTGAAATTCGAAGCAAAATTTTGCACGAAAAAGTGTCTGAAATCCGAAAAGTCCGTTATCTGGTGCGTGCGAAATCCTGGGTTCCACCGTATATATAACAGCACCCCCAAGGATGTGAACTCAGTCTGCTAGTAACCTACATAGCTTTACTCCTGAGTGAACAGAGTGCATCTGGTTTATATGCCCATCTCCCCCATCCCAGGATTAAACCCACGCACTTCAATAATAATCCAGAGGTACTATCACCATGCCATGAATTAACAAGGCAGCCACAATGTAGATAAGTTGTTCATTTTGTACCTAATTTTTTTTTTAGAGGGAGAGGGTGTTCATAACTTTATAATGTTTGTAATGCCACCCTGTCATTCCCATATACAGTACAGTACGTATATGTTATTTATATTTTATAGCCTAAAGTTTTCATGAATGCAACCCAAGTGTTAATTGAAAGGGTACTGTATATGGTATTTATATGTGCAAGTTCTTTGTGATTATTGAAAATGCTTGCATTAAAAGGCAGGTAGAATTTTGAATTGCTTTAAAATTTTAAATATTTCAGTTTTAATTATATGTACTATATAGATGGATATTTTGATTAACCTTTACTATACTTCCAGCTTGAACGCATGCATCAGATGGAATTCGAGAGTGATTTAGCACGTTCGTCCGAATACAAAAGTTTCCGTAGTACAGTACCTCTTAAACAAATTGTAGTTGACAGTGAGGCATTGAAGGTGAGTAATTGTGAGAATTTTTTATGTAACATCATCATCATCATCATCAATAATCCACATTTTCTACTTTAATGAGGTGAGAAAAACACAGTAATACTCAGTACAGTGAACCCCTGGATTTCATCCAGTGTGGAAATCGTACAATTCAGATTTCGATTACTTTTTTTGGCGATATTTTACCCCAGGTTTCATACATCCGCTCAGAAATCATCCATACCAGATGCATCTGCATCTGCCTGGGCCGCTCATACGTTTGTGGCTCGCTCTTGGACACATTAAATGTCTTATTTTACGTTAATATAGACATTTTCCTTAATCCATCTATGATATTTTCATCAAAATTATATAAGAAACCTGTTACATAGCATATAAACATGCAATGTTTATGTGCTATGAAGGGGTGGTAGTCGGTGGAGGAAAAACATTACGTTTTCTCTGGTCCAGCATCAGAGAAAACGTGTATGAATCTGCGTTGGCCCAGTCACCGCCCTTAATACATAACGCTTTTGTTTACAATTCTCGGAATGAATTATTCATTGCTTCTCCCTTTGTTTATGATGGCATCTAAAGGTAGTTGTTAGAAATGATTAAACTCACTGAACATGGTATGTCGATTGTAGTAATATGGCTCTGGGCCGCAGTGTAGGTAGCCAGTGGGTGTAGCTCAGGTGGGCTGCACCTACCGGCTACCTACACTGACTTCCTGCAAATAAATACTACTCGCCTCTCATCCTACATTAAGACTACAAATATTTTAAGGTAAGTAATGAATGTACAGTGGAACCTCAGGTTACGAATTTAATTTGTTCCATGGACGTGTTCGTATCCTGATATGTTCATATGCTGAGTAAATTTTCTTCATATAAATTAATTGAAATGCAATTAATTCGTTCCAGCTGAATCCCTGCTCTCAGGAGGCATGACAAAATAATCCTAATATTAACTCTACGGCTTATTTATCTGTCAGAATTCATCTAATATGACACAATAAACAATATAAATAACATAGAAACCTGATATACACTCTAGAACGAATAAAATGTCATTACATGGACGGCGGAGGGAGGAGGATTGTGGTCGGGAGTGGTCGCGCATTCTCGCTATGAAAACATCAGAGGTGTTATTATAAAAGAAAATGGAGTTTGTGAGGCTATCTGAATTAGATCTGGTGTACCCACCTTGGAGAACAAATACAGAGTGGCATATTCTGTTTGAAGTTCACACTTTTCTTAAGAATTGCTTTGTGCAATTTTTATGTTTATCTCACTACACTATGTATCTCCTGTGAGCTGTTTTTCTGTCAACCATGTCAACAGCAGCTTTACCATCTTTTAATTCACATAGATCCATTGCTTAGAAATTACCGTAACGTCCTTTGCTGGAGCTATAACCTTTATAGACTCCTTCTTTAGTATTGTACATATGGTAGATTATTATTATAATCATGGGGAAGCACTAAACCCATAGGTACATATAGTAGAGGGGCTACGCTTGTACTTGCCAAGTCCTCAACCCTCATACCTAGTCTGTGCTTATTAATCATTTCTTGCTTTAATTCCATGAAAATCATCAACTTTTTCTTCTTGGCACTGTCCTGTGCACTTGCTTCCTTAGGACCCATGGTTAGAAGAAAGAAATCTGGCGAATTAACTGCACGGAACGTAAGGAAATCATGAGAATTCCTTGCACCGCGAGGATAGCTCCGTAAGCACATGTGCACTGGTGACCATTGTCACCAGGGAAAAGTGCAATTGAACTAACAAAACCAGATGAACCCCAACTCCCACCAACTGAAACAGCAAACAGACTCGATTTCTTCACCATAGGAAAAAACCTAGCCAATAAAATTCCAAGCTCAGATACCCCACCCAATGACTACCTCACTGGCAACTACCTGAACACACTGTTCCTTGCTCCGACTAACCCAACAGAAGTCTCCCTTATTATCAACACACTAAAAAACAAAACAGGAGATTAAAATGCCTTACCACCCTTTATATACAAAAAAGCATCACAGGTGCTGTCACCAATCATTGCAACACACTTTAACAAATCCATCGAATCCTCTACCTTCCCTACAGTTCTCAAAATAGCGAGGGTCACCCCGATACATAAAGGAGGAGACCAAACAGACTTGAATAACTATAGGCCAATATCCAACTTAAACCCTCTCTCTGGCTTTGTAAACATTGGCACGTTGGCTGGTAGACTGGGTGACTGGCCGGGCACTCATGGCGCCCAGCAGACACGTTCGGGACGAAACCTCCTAACTGAGTTTTTAGGTGTTATCCCATCCAATTTTCTTATGCCAAAGCGAGACGTTATCTGATTTTGGCGCTATCCAATCCAGGCATTAACCGAGGGTCCACTTTATTATTATTATTATTATTAATTTAGTGACCTGGAGCACAGATCCAATTCCCTAGATCAAGAGCCCCTCACCACATATGTATGTACTACTACTACTACTAATAATAATAATAATCGTTATTATAATAATAATACAATATAATGGTAATAATAATAATAATAACAGTAAGGAGAAACTTCAAAAGGCTGCCAGTAGTTGGCGCCACCATCAGCAAAACACCAGTAACCACTAGTAGTACACTTTTCACCTGTCTAGACTTAACCCTTTCAGGGTTTCCGATGTACTAGTATGTCTTACGCACCAGGGTTATTGACGTACTAGTATGCGTAAATTCTAGCGCCTTCAAATCTAGCAAGAGAAGGCTGGTAAGCCTTAATATGAAAGAATGGGTCTATGTGGTCAGTGTGCACAGTATAAAAGAAATCCTGCAGCACACAGTGCATAATGAGAAAAAAAACTTAGACCATGTTTTTGGTTTAAAACATCGACCTTGCACTGTATTTTCGTATGGTATTTATGGTTGTATTCTAGTTTTCCTGGTCTCATTTTATAGAATGGAAGATATATTACAGAAATTGAGATGATTTTGATTCGTTTCACAATGAAAAGTACCTTGAAATTGAGCTCGAAGTAGCAGAAATTTTCGATTTTTGCCAAAGTTCAAAAGTAAACAAATCATGCCACACGTCCAATACATGTCAACTGGTGAGTCTAATATTCTTTCACAAGTGCCCTGATATTATTTATACCATTTCTACACTAATGCAGTAGTCTGCATAACAGTAAATCTTCTAGTTTTTGTGAGAATAAAAATTCAAAGTGGAAAGCAAAAGAAATGTAAGAGGGGCCTGGGGACATGACTAGTGAACAGAGGAAATGTTACATTAGTGCCAGGAATGTCTGTCTTGTTCATTCTGGACGCTATTCAGAAATTGCATCTTTTGAAATTTGTGTGAAATTGGCAAAATTGCCAATTTCTGACCACTTTATTGGATAGTTGATATCAGTAAATGGGTGGTTTCTTGTACTCATTCGATAGAAAAAATGGAGTTCTAGCGAAATAGTTATGATTTCTGTTGACTAGTACACTGGAATTGGCCGAAAATAGGGCTCAAATTGGGCGAAATCGCTGATACGTAAACATCGTCAAGACCGCTAGCTTCGCGAGAGCATAATTTCATAAGTTTTCCATCAGATTTCACACTTTTGTTATCATTATGATAGGGAAAAGATTCTCTGTCATTTCATAAGAAAAAATTTAGGAGAGGGCCTCTCGACCCTGAGAACAAGTTTAGGAGAGGACCTCTCGACCCTGAAAGGGTTAAGTGTAGTCTTAAGTAGGCATTTCTGCCTGTAATGCCTTGGCATGATAGTGGCTTTCTTTGCTCCAATCATATTATGATATGTAAACACACATTGTAACCTTTGCAAAGAAATATATATTTTATTTGTTTATTTGTTTAAGGAACCTCATTTGAGGAGGAAGTTTGCATCCTGAAACTTCTTTCGTATCCTGAAGCAAAAACTCGACCGAACGACGGTTCGTATCCTGAAAAATTTGCATGGTGGAGCGTTCGTAATTCGAGGTTCCACTGTACAGTGGACCCCCGGTTAACGATATTTTTTCACTCCAGAAGTATGTTCAGGTGCCAGTACTGACCGAATTTGTTCCCATAAGAAATATTGTGAAGTAGATTAGTCCATTTCAGACCCCCAAACATACATGTACAAATGCACTTACATAAATACACTTAAATAATTGGTCGCATTCGGAGGTAATCGTTATGCGGGGGTCCACTGTATTGTGTATGTGTTTTACTTTTTATTGGTTTTTAATGCCTAGTTCTATTACTAACTTACTTTTTGTTAATATTTTAGGATGTCTGGAATGGATTAATTGTATTTATATTGTTTCTTATGGGAAATATTACTTCGGTTTTCGTCCATTTTGGATTTCGACCAACCTTCTGGAACGGATTAATGATGAAAACTGGGGGTCCACTGTACTTGTCAAAAAATAGTAATAAATATACAGTGGAACCCCAGTTTTCCCTCCAGTCCGGTTATTGTACAATTCAGTTTTTGACCATTTTTTCGGCGAAATTTTCTCTATTTTTGTACATTTGCTTGGAAATCGTCTGTACAAGACACATCCGCCTACCCGTGGAACGTGGCTGCTCATAGGTTCATGACTCAGTCTGCCTTTGTTACTTGTACAGTGAGCATTACTCCGTGTGTTCATCTGAAACATTTTGTAATAATCCATTTTTTTTGTGCTTGCTACTACTAAATATGCCACCATGGGGCCAAAGAAAGTTCCGAGTGCCAGTCCTTTGGTCAAGAAGGTGAGAAACATGATAGAATACAAGAAAGAACTCGTAGAAAAATACACAAGTGGCGTACGTGTGGCCGAGTTTGCCAGGATGTAAGAGAAGTCCAAATCAACGATCACTTCCATCCTCGAGGAAAAAAAGAAATCAAGGAAGCTGATGTTGTGAAAAGGGTAAATGTGCTAACGAAACAGAGATTACAAACAATCATTGGTATGGATCAACCAAAAACAGTTTGCGGGAGATAGTGTTGTGGAGACAATAATTCGCGAAAAGGCAAGGCAGTAGCGTGCAGATCT